ATCTAAAATACAAAAAAAAGCTAAATTTTTTTAGTTTTGTATTTTTGTTTGGGTCCAATAATAGCCCTTGGATTAAAATATCATGAATAGTTGAGATTCAATCTTTACCATTTCTATTGACCGGGTCATAATCAATTGGGCCATCAGAATTGATCTAAATCAGCCCAATTTAAATAAAATTGGGTCATTTGAGCCAATAAAATAATAAAAACAAATACCCAAAATACAAATAAAATTAAAATTCCTTACTAAAATATTATATGAGTAAAATAAACATGTCAAAAATTAGGTGTTCATAGAAGTGAGTGTTTGGAGGGCAGTATTCAGTATATTAGAGTTTATATATGTTAATAAATTGGATCCAAGTGATTGCGAAGAAATCGTTCGATTCTAGCGGAGTTAGAGGGTAAGAAAACGAGCAATGGAACTCGTCGGGTTTTTTGGATTGGGTCTTGGCGCTTCATGCCAGTCAGTATGCCTAAAATTAGGTTATGAATTTTAGGGGTTGGCACCTCACACCACTCAGTGCGCTAGGGTTGTTGTCCAGTTTGAAATTGGTTGTCCCATTTGAGTCCCTTAAAAGTATACCTAGCTGATGAAGGTGTTGGAGTTGAAAATTTATGTTTACCCTGCGAGTGACTTCCGCCACCTGGTTTCTGGTGAGAATATTCACAGTTCTCATTTCTAGCCTTCTTGTTTCCTAAGATTATCACTCTCAACCTGCTGATCATCAGTCATGAGCCTACAGATGTTCATATCTACCAGCAACATAACATTTGTACACTGTGTCTTAACCAAGTTTGATACTCCATAAAGAAAAATATTAATCTGAGCCCTGGAATTAGAAAACATGTGAGGAGAATACCTGGGAGTTGTGTAAACTTGAGCTCATACTCTTGGAATGTCATACTACCTTGCTTTAAATTAATAAATTCCTGAGTATTTACCTGTCTCATCTTTTTGGGAAAAACCTCCAGAAAGGTCTCACTAAAGCAATCTCAAGTGATAGGAGCTACATTTGTACTTGTGTCTCATTCCATTTAGTATACTATATATGAGCGACGTTCTTAAGATGGTAAGATGTCAACTAAACCCTATCATTTCAAGTTACCTGCATCACTTCAACGATCTTCTTGACCACATAAATGAAGTTTTGCGGATCCTCACTAACTTGTGATCCTAAGAAGTCTGGTGGATTCATCCTAACAAAATGCCAAACTCTGGCTGCAGGTGACCCAATATTAATATTTTTTGGAACTAGAGCCCGCTATTTATTCTTGTTGGTCACAATTTGAGCCAACATCTGAATGGCATTCTTGAACTCTGCATTCGAGACTTTTTGCTACGGCTGTTTTTGCTTTCCAGGAATTAGCTCTACGAGTAGGCATGACCTAACACGTAGAATGTCGAGTTAGGATGTAATGAACTCACAACTTACACACGATAAGACTAACAATAAAATAAAGATTTTTCCAATAAAACACTTTGCAGCATCCTTTTCATTAGAATTGGTGCACTTTACACACATGACAAGGACTCCACTTAAATTGGATTTTTCAGACATCCTAGGATACTTAAGCCTAGTGCAATGACAACAAGTTATTCATTCCTCGAGAGGCAATCGGGACCTAGGATCACAGGAGAACCCAATCTAATCCTGATGGCATAATCACGACCATACTAAATATAAATTGAACAAATAAACTACACAAAAGCTAAATAATAAGAGATACAGAAAATGATGTGGGATACCCATATACTCTTTGAATATATAACATCCGAGAGAGTTTGATACAAGAGAATTTAAATCTCAAATACTAAGTTTAATCTCACCGTCTATAAAAATAAGTCTCTAAACTGACTGGAAATGTTGGGATATACCTCAAGTATATCTAGAAAAACTGAAAACAAAAGACTAAAAGTGATAAATATAAACACGTCACTAATCCTCTAAGAATGAGGACTCACCATTGATGTTGCTAAACTGAAGATTGGAAACTTATCTAAGCATGATGAGGATGCTGAACACCTAAACCTACATCAGGAGAAGATGTAGAGCAGAGCATATGTTACTACTTGAAAGAATCTGAGCATGTAGGATAAAATAACGCAAAAATAACCATATAAATGAACATGAAATAAAGGAAGAGTATAATTTGAACATGATATAGATACTGAATATAGAGCTAACTAAATGCAATGACCAAATGATAACATGCTGAGGCTGAATATTGATTATGCTGGTATGTGGTCAATGCAATAGAGTCTAACTTAATTGTGGGATTTAAGAATAACCCGATAATAAAATCACATGAGCTAAACGTAGAGTCCGATGTATACGCCCCATCTAGAGGACCCAATACTCCTGGTCAAAGGTGTAGAGGCTTGCTGGAGTGATTACTAAAATGATGCCCAAAGAGGGGACTTACAACCTACATGGTTGCACAGTTCTAGAACTATATGGGTGATTGACCCTAGTCCAACTCGGTCTACTCCCAATAGATTAAGTATTTGACATATTATGGCTGAATTTTTGTATTACTAGATAGATCAAACTAAAACATGCAAACTGCTAATGCAATAATTAATTTGATAATGATGCATTAAGAAATTAAGCATGTATAACTGGAGAAAAAAAAAGTTGACTCAGCATGTGCAATCCAAGAACTAAAAAAATTCAAAGTTAGGGTTCGGAAATTCATGCAATAAACTGAGTAATAACATAATAATCTGATTTGGAACATATGCATAAATAATTCATGGTACCCTGCTAAAATCCTAGAAACCCTAACTCTGGTCATAACAAGGGAATCAAGAAACTAAACTGATTCTAGGGACCTAATGAATGAAAGTAATCCACTAGTGAAATTCCACATACCTGGTGATAAATTCCACAGAGAAATCTTTTTGTTTTGGGACTCGAACTGATAGATTCTTGTTGCATTCTTAACTAGGGTTCTTGACCTCTTTTTTCCTCTAAAGCCCTAATTTCTCTAAGTTTGTCTAATGATTTGACTTAGGTATGTTCTAGTTATGTTTCTAGGCTAAAACCAATCAAAGCCACAAAAATTAGGGTTAAAACGTGAAGGTGTCTGTGGTTTTTTCTTAGGCGTGGGGGTTTGAGGGGATAGCTTGGGGAGTCTATTGATCTGACTCTACGGATGCCACCACGGACTGTCGTCGTGACCACTGCCTGTGAAGGGTCTTGTGGTTTGACGCCTAGTCCTGGTGAAGTCCAAATGTGATCCACGGGTAATTCTACGAACCATGGATCCTATCACAGTCCGTGAACCCTGCAGTGGTTCACTGCTTTAAGAACTTATGCGGAAAAAATTTCCCGATCTGATTTCCGAGGGGTTACATCCAGGTTATGTTGGTTCAGTCTAAAGTCATACCTATATATCAAAAGAGTTGTACAACATTTGGGGAAACTTTGAATGACTAAAGGCAAACCAAGAAAAGGGCAGGTACGTACCCTATGTTTAAACTTTTTATTTTTTCAAGTTAGTTTTGCCTTATATATATGTGAGTTTTATTAAGTATATATAGTTTGTTGGGGAATCTTAGTAGCACGGTTGGTGAACATTAACATTGTTGATGAACGTTTGATTCCCCAATGCAATCGCCTTCCTTGTTTCCCCTTCCCGTACCCCAAGTTTAAAAAATAAAAAATAAGTATAGTTGTTTCTTGTCCGAATAAATGATGACGATTTCGTGAAATATAATGACGTATGCATAAAAGGGAATAACGGAATAGAGGATCCTCATGCCTGATCGAGGCCCCTTTGTACACCATTAATCAATACAAAAAATTGCACTCATCATGATATACATAATTATAAATACCATCTTCACCAAAACTCCAAGCTACATCTCCCTTATTTCTTGTGTTTCTTTATTAAATTAAATTAACCTAGAGGTTGGGGGTGAATGAGGGTTTAAGGTGTTTTAGAACAAAAGTCTTTTTTAAGTGCTTCAAAGAAAACTAAAGGTTAGGGTACCATAGAATATATATTTTGTTACTTCATTTAAAGAAGAACACATATTCGTATTTTTATCCAGTTACAATGCATATTTTCTTCTTACAATTTCTTATGCATGTAGTTTGAAGTCTTGGGAAATCAGAGTACGATAAGATGGATGTGTGTGTTTCATTGCCATCTGCTGATTGACTTTTAATATGAAGTAGCTCATTATATCTACTGTATTTGTTTTTTTCCTCTAGTTATAATACTCCCGATATACAATAATGGACTCTAATTTATAAATCAAATCACTCACGAGATGGTCAACAACTTAGACAACTTAATTAAGGTAGTAAAGTCACCATTCGGTCATAGTAAGATGATGCAACAAAGCTGTTTTGAAACATATGAAGTCTTACACCCAAATATTATTTGAATCCAAAAATGTTTGTGCCTATTGCATTTGTCATATGAGAAACATTTTCAATCTATCCAATCGAGAAATAAGACTTTGCAATTGATTTTTTGTGCTTAAGTTACAATGAAATTAGAACTAATAAATATAATGAGTTTAATTTTTGTGAATTGACAGTAAAATATTATAAGGTATTGTAATTTTTGTATATTTAAATTTACAATTTTTATTAATTATGATAGTCATCAAATACATTTATCAAAAACAGAAATTAACTGTATCATACCTAAAACAAAGACAAATATAGACAATTAAGATGATTTCAAAAAGTGTAATTTTGATTATACATCATAAGACGACTAGAAAATTATTATCGAACATTTTCTTTTTAAAAAGGTAAACGGTCAAACCAAACCAATTACACCCCTACTTACCTAGTATTAAAAAAAAAAGCAATCAATGGTGCATGTGACACTTTTCTCCCAATTTTGAGAGATTTAATGTTTATAGTTATTTACAAACTTATTTTTAGTTGTGCTATATTTTTTTTAAGAGATTTTCATTTTTTACAAATCTAAAATTAAAAAGTTATTTCCTTCTATTGAATAAGTAATTACAGGTTTCTTGAAATAGCAAATTAAAATTCATACTTGTACTCAATAAGCGCAAGGAGTTTAATTCGACAAATTAAAGTAACATAACATAACATATATGCTTCTATATATCATTGTGATTTCTTGTTCACATTATATGCTTGTGGATATCCAGGATCAAGCTTATCAAAGAAAGCCAATTCTTGTACGCTCAACGATTTAAATGGTTCATTCAATGGTGGCAATAACTTAGTTTGTGGATTAAATTGCGTCCCCTCCTCAATATTTTGAGAATTATTGCACAAACTTATAACCTTGTTCGTAATGCTACTACCACAGTCTTCGTCTTGAGTTTTATCACCTTCTCTTAACACCTCCATATCACTTTTTTTTTTTTAATATAAAATCATCAACTCTGAAACAATGAATGATTAGACATAGATCCCTACCTCGTCTATTAATATTCAAAAGATACAAAAGGAGAGTAGCCAGGAGTGAGGATTAAAATGCCAATAAACTAATGGTTTGCCTTGTTTCTACAAATTTCCAAATTCAAGCCCATAACTTTAATTCTAAAATCAATCATAAATAAACAAAGGTTACGCTTCCCATTAATTTACTAGCTAATAATACAAACAATTAAAAAATAAATTCTAATAAATGTATTATACTGTCATCACCAAATATCATGAATGTTCCTTATAAATTCCAAAGTTCTTTGTTTTATGTATCTCAGAATGAAATATTTTTAAAATAAGACATAAAATTCCTTCCTGGTCATTTATTTCATTGCCTCTTCTTAGGAATATTCAATTTTTTTGTAGTAAAAAAATAAAAAATTAAAAACTTTAGTCTGTTATGGTATTTATGTAATTAATTATTCAAACATATTTTGATAATTTTATTTATTTATTCATTCTATAAGGATTATTCGTACTTAAATTTTTGACGATATTTTAGAGTTGGTATACGCCTCGTTACAAAAGTGGCTCAT